GTTTGACCCCTCTAAAGGTGCAGGGTTGGTTTGGGATATTTGTAGTATTACTGTTGGTTCCCAAGCCTCTGCTTGTCCATGCTTTTAGTAGCACCTCAGTGTGCCAGCCAAATACTGATCCCCTTTTATTTGGGAAGAGGTGAGGGAACCAGGGCACACTTGGCTGCTCTGGCAGTAGTCCCAGATGGACAGAGAGTGATTCACAATTCTCATATTCCTGAGCAAAAAGAAGGGACCATGTAAGGTTTGTTTTAAACAATCTTTGTACTGCGTGTACATGGCAAACTGTCACAGCAGTTCTGGGCTGTCAAGCTTGTACTTGTCTTTTTGTAGCCCATTGATGATCTTGAAAGCAGAAAATATCCATAGCACATTGTGCTCTGGCCAACACATTTCCTGCGCAGGGACTTGGAAGTCGGGCTAGTGCAAAATGCGTGGACCACATCTACACGGAAGGTGTCAGATGGCACATTCCCATCTCTTTTCATCTAACACAGAATAAAGCTAGCTAATTACAGGCAAAGCTGTTCCAAACAGAAGTTGACAGTCCAGGCTTTGTTACCTTGAGAGGGATGGAAAATATCCTTGGTCTTTTTAATAACCTTTCTGTTTGTGATTGAATATGATCCAATTGCTCTAATGGAGGAGAATATTATGCACAGCATGAGTCAGCAACACTTTCTTCCTGGAACAGCTGACAGCAAAGAAAGTTCCCAAACTCTCTGCAGAAATATTCCTCCCCCCTAGATGAGGATCTGGACTGCATCCACCAGTACCTGCTGGTGCCTCCCTAAGAAATGGACCTGTACTTGTCTGACTGGAATACAGAATCGTCCAAGGTTCATTCAAGGTTAGAAGACACAACTGGATGTGCAGCAGCAGTAGGGGAAGCCAGCTGTAGAAGTTCTAAGTGACAGTGCATGTTCCAGCAGTGCAGAGCTTGGAAATGAGGCCCTAGACAGGCAATGGGAGGATGGTAACTATTCCAAATGCTTAGGTTCAGCTGAGGTCATCCAGGAAACAAGACTAGATTGTTTCTTGCAAAATACCAATCTATAGCCACCAGCTAAATGGTGGTTGGGAGCAGATTTGCTACCTACTTATCAATAAATGCACTCTCCATTCTGTGATAGTTAAAAAATAGACCAAAAATTCTTGTCCTGTTAGGATAATTTAAATAAGGTGATGTATCTTCAAATACTACATCTTTGAAGCATGCAATGGGCTCGTAGGTAAAAGGCCTTTTCCAACCTAGTTGATTCTGTGATGGACTTCAGTACAAAGATGCTAGGAATGGGTCTTCCCTGCTTTAGGATGTACTCCCCTCAGAGATTAACCCTTGTACCAAGTTTGCCCTGTTGCAGTTTGTGTTGTGTTGAGAGCAACCATCTGATACAATGTTCCAGCAGGCGAAAGACTGTGCACAGAAACAGGCCGGGCATCTCAACAGTCCCCCTGTACAAAGCAGTACTTCCACTGGAAAAATGTTTGCCAAGCAAAGCTACACTCTGATAAGCAATCCAAAGTTTTGGATTGACTTTTGTTCTTTCTGTTGTGGCTGTCGGGTATTTGCTGCCATTGGATAAAGATTCTGGCAGCTACGAAGGGATTAGCTATGGTGGATCCAACATGTTCTTATGAAATGAGCATTTCTGCCAAAGGTGCCAGCCCAAAGCATTGCTGCTTCTTAAAGAATCCAGAGATATTAAACCACCTAACTCACTCCTTGCTCAATGCCAAGTCACCCAGCCTCCTCCCTGCTCTATGCTCAGGTCAGTCCACGTGCCAGATGCTTCTTTCATCTGAGCTGGGACCTCACTCTGTGCCATACCACATCCACCGAGGTCTCCGCTCTCCGTCTGGGACCTCACAGGAGAGGAAGAGCTGTGGGCACATAGGCAAGAGCTGCATTTCACAAAATTCCTGCCAGTTCTTAGAAAGTTTACAACAGAGCCCCAGACCTTAAAAGAACAGTGTGATTGCCACAAAGAACAGTGTGGGAAAACCAGTATACATGCATGTGCAGCCCTCCCACACACATACTGACTACCCCAGATATAGGCATGCCCACAGATCAGCACCTACACACAAATGTTTTTGACACACTTATTCTCAGCATCCTGTTCTCTCACAGCAGCCTCAGTTGGAGGGAGGGAGAAAATATGTTCCTTCTAACCTAATCTTCTAATGACCCTTCCACCAACTCTGCTTTCCTGCTTATCTCTAAGCTGCCTGTGGTGGTGATGGGAGCAAGATTCCAATATAGACAGTGATTTTCCTCATCAGAGGTCAGCAGGGTCTGCCTGCTGGATTGTGACGTGCTGCCCAATTGATCCAGGGTAAATAGGGAGGTAAGAAAATTGTTTAGTCGCATCCTTTGGGCCCCTTGCAGCTCTGCCAGAGTTGGTTGTAGTAGAGTTGAAGGACTGCGACTCTGCTGCAAACGTGGTGCAAGCAGGCTTCCATCACCTCTTCCCTTCCCGGACTGCAAAATCCCTGCCAAGCCTGGCAGCAGGTCTCAGCCCTCTCACTGCCCTGTGCATTTTATACAGCTGCATGCACTGCAGGGAAGAAAAGCAGGAGAGCAGACAAACACGGCAGCATGCCATGGTGGCTGGCTCTGAATGCTCTGGTACAAGCTAGTATTTAGAGGATGACCATCTCAACTTTTGTTCAGAGGCTTTTAGAGCGTCTGTAAGACACGCTCAGTGGCTGTCTTCCAAAGCTGTCTCATGGCAGCCTGGGGGCTGTGATGGATTCTCCTTACAGGAGATGCCCAACTCCCTTGCTCCACTCCCTCTCTCTGGGAGGATGCAGGAGATGGGCGCTTCTCAATTGCAGGGCATTCCTTTTGGAATTGACGGAGCGGGGGGGGGGGGGATTCTCTCTCCTCTCTGCTCTGGAATTGGAGTCATTTGTCTCAGGAAGGAGCCCAGGCGCCTCACTCGCTGTGTGGCAGCTTCTGCTCAAGGGAGACAAGCACTTCGTCAATAAACAAGGAGCCTGGGGCATGGCTCCAGCTGACAGAGGACATTATTAATCACCAGCTCTTTGGCCAAGGGTAGATCAGCCTCCCAGTAGCTGCTTTGAGAGGGGAAGGAGAAATAAAGCTAAAGATGGCAGTCTTGAGAAGAGCTGGGAGTTTCAGCATCCTTCTGCAATGTCCCCCACTGAGAGGCCCAGGGCTGGCACAGCCCCCAGGGAGTGACTGTACATTTCCCCAGCATCAGGGGTCTTCAAACTGTGGCAGCAGGAGACAGGCCCAGCTCAGGAACAGCTTTGCTTTCCAGCCCACTATGGGTGGGCTCTGCTGTGGAGGTCTTCCAGACCAGAGCTTCCCCACCCCTCTGCCCTGTTCTCAGTCTGCCCTGGTGCAAGGGGTGTCTTCCAGTATCTGCTACTGCAGCTTCTTTCTTTGGAGGGCCTGTGGATCTTTGTACAGGTCCTTTCCAGGCCATCCAGTGAAGAAGGCATTGAGGGGATCTGGGGGGAGGCTGTTCCACTGCCTTCACTCTTGGGAAGTGGTTAGTACAAGGAAGAGCAAGAAACAGTCCCGCATGGCTGCAACTCAAACTGGATAATTTGTTGACTCTTGTCATGGTTGGACTCCTAAACTCATCTCCTCAGATGGAAGAAGCCTCTAAGCTCTGAAGAAACTGTTGATTCACCTTACAATCATGCTGGATTTGCCACAGCACCATCAGGATGGAAGCAGAGAAATCCCTGCTTTGTTGTGACATTGACAGTTCATCCTTCCCTGTCCTACAGCTGCCAGGAGAGCAAGTCCTTGGCTCCTGCACAAAAAAAGCCTGTGGTGCAAGTACTCAGTCCATGGGTTAGGTATTTGTAGAGCCTTTTGTATGGAACCACACTCGCAAAGGAAGTTGTCAAGTCTTTCAGCTGAACACCTGAGTCCAGCCAGCCTGCTGTGTAGACATGGTGTAGGATCAGTGTCACTTTGGTCTTCACAGTTCTTGCAGGAGGTAGCTCTTCGTGCCATGGCTTCTTATCACTCTGGAGCTGCAGCTGTTGTGGTTTCATAGCTAAGTGTGCGTTCACCATCCTGTTCAAATCCTGTTGCCTGGGTGTGGTGGTGAGTTTTTAATGCAATTTAAATCTCTTTTCAGACTGAATGCTTTTATGTTCAGCCTGAGATCAGAGGAAAATGTACCAGGGACTCATCCCTTTTCTTTCAGAGATTGTCCTATTACCACAGCAGACCTAAGTCCAGAGTTTGGAGCTGGCTCTAGCTTAAGGAGCCTCTTAGCCTTGGTGTTCCTCCAGGACTTAGGTGCTTGGCAATGGAACAGATGGATATGACATCCAAATTCTTTGCTTCACATTATCCAGCCTAGGGCTGCTCAGATTTAGGATTCCGGTGTGAGTCCCTCATTGGCAGATTCGTGCAGGTAAACCACCAGCTGACTTGGACTTGCAGAGAGCTGGAAAAACTTTACCGCAAGACTGGCTCAAGGTCTCTCCCTTGTGGTTAAACGCTACTAGCCTGGGGCTGAGAGTGTTGTAGGGCCCCGGACTGCAGCCTCCAGGCTTGCTTCCTCCGTGGCAGGAAAAGAATGAGAGACTTCTGCTATTTATAAGCTGAAACAGGTCCCACTCAGATAATAGTCCATTTCTGCTCCCAAACCAGCTCTGGACTCTGTTCCAAGCCCCTAAGTGGATTGCCTTCTGGCCAGCCGCGCTCTCTAGTGATTGAAAAGCTGAGAGGAGTTAGAAGGGGGTGGGTAGGGATGCGATGTTCCGAGGCTGCGTGCACCCAAACTAGCTGGATTCACTGAACTCATCACTGAAATCATTTCTTGCTGTGCGTCTCTCTTTTAATTCTCCCCGAATCAGCCCTCTCCCATGAGCGAAACAATCTTGCCTGCAGATTGAGGGGGGTGGGAGGGATTTGAACATTAATCTGATGTAGATTATACACCCGCCTCCCTCTCTCTCCCCTTCTCACTCTCTCTCTCTCTCCCTCTCTTTCTGTCTGTTTCTCTCCCCTCCCTCTCCTTCCTGCTTCATCTCTTCAAGAAAGTGAACATAAAGTAAAAACACAGAGAGAGGCAGAGAGAGAAAAAGCTCCCTGAAGAGGGAAGCCCCAGCAGCCAGTAGCTGTTTGGATTTGCCTGGCACTGCCTTTCTTGCTTTGCTCCCAAGGAATACCTTTAATGGGATCAATTGCTTCAGTTCCCTTATAACCAAGTCCACCGGAAAGGCAGACTCAACATATTATGGGCAACTGTGTGAAGTCTCCACTGAGAAACCTCTCTAAAAAGGTATGTTCCCTGAATCAAAGTGCGTTGTGCGTTTTCAGCCCTGCTTCTTGGGACGAGTGATGTTGTGGGCCGAAGGGAATGGGAGGTGGGAGAAGCACAGAGGTATGTGTGAAGGGTTCAGCTCTTTTCACCAGACTTTTTTTGTAAGAGCTGCTCATGCCAGCGCAGCCGTTAAAGCCGTAACACGTGTAAATCAATGTGTGTGTATGCATGCCCAGGAGTAGGCTTGTCTCCTGCTGTGTGTGTGTACATAGCAGTCCTCTGGGTACGTGCAAGCTTGTGCTTGTCGATGTGCATAGTATGCTGGCACATGTCTTCTGTAGGTGCACCTTAATGTATGTGTGTATGTGTGAGTTTGTGTGCATGTGCTTCAGATGGGAGGTGTTCGCATCAGTCTAGTTGTGTGTCGTTCCTGTAGGGACGTCTCTTCATGTACGTAACTTTTTGTACATGTAGAGTGTACGTATGTGTACGTATTGTGTTGGTGTGTAAGAATACACACATGTAGTGAGCCCACCTGAAGTACGTGTGTGTCCTTAGCACTCTGTGTCTCTATGTACACATCCTGAGGAGTGTGAGCAGGCGCGCAGTGTTTGTTGTGAGTGTTTAGGGTCATACACAGATCCCTGTTTGTATGGCACTGTGTGTGTGTACCTGCTGGTGGATGTCCTTACCAAGGTCTCCATGTACGCATGCATGTGTTTTATGTATAACCCATCCTGGCATACGCACACATCTGGTTTTGTTGGTATGTGTTTGGGTACAGAAGCATGTTTTTCTCTGTGATCTGTTTGTCCATGCCTCTGTTTGTGAGTGGATACACTGGGCCCTGGCTGCATGTTCATGCATCATGTTGCACGTCAGTCAGCACAGCCCATGTGTGCACATGCTTGGGCCCAGCTGGACTTTGTCTGCGAGCTGCCATGTGTATCTGTTAGGCTTCAACCCATGGTCTGCTCTGTGCTGAGGTCTTGCAGTGATCCCAGGACAAATTAGATTCAGGAACAATTCTGCTGTTAGGAAGTAGATTGAAATGGGAATGACATGTTCCAGAAATATTTCTTGTTTGACTGAGAAAGGTCTTGAAGCACCTTGTACCTGTCAGCCACGCTGTTCTCAGTGTTGCTGCAAGTCTAACAACTCAGCAAGAAGCTATGCAATTCACTCCTTGTAATTGAAAAAGTTATGTTAAGCATCCTAAGTATTGCAATGAAGAGCACTGAGGAGGTCTCTTGAGCCCTTGCTGACAATGAAGTGCCACTCCCATCAGGGAGACCTTGCCACCTGGGAAAGCCCTTCTGGAGGGGGACTCTTGGGTGGAGAACCTACCTAGTAGAGAGTTTCTTTTGGTCAGAGATTTGCCTCTTCTGTGTAGAAACACAGTTTGCTTTTACCTTAGTTGCTGTGAACAAAACCGGTAATGGCACAGTGCTGCTGTGGGGGAGCTGGGAGACATGGGATGGGGATTCATCACCAAGCAGTGAGGCAGCGCTGAGACCATTCCTGAGGTCAGGGTGACCTTCAGGGAGAGGCAGAAGTAGTTGAGATTCACTCAAATGTTGCACATACGAAAAACCAATTTGGTTGCTTGTAGGATGCCTCCAACTCGCAATAAAAGGCGTTGGCTGCAGCTGTGCTCAACATGACTGAGGCGATTGCAATTAAAGTCTGACGTGTGGCCAGGCTGCTTGAATCCAAATGGATTCAAGAACGTATGAGCTCTGTGTCGTCAGTCTTTTAGGTAATTTATGCTTTCATTCCTAAAAGCTGCTTCGAATAATGCACTTTGTGCCTAGTTAGAAGGCCTGGGATGGCACGACTACAGAGAGAAAGTTGCAGAGCTGAATTAGAGTATTTCTCAGACATTGCTCCAGCCAGCCATGTATTAAGGCCTCAGGCACTCATCCCGACAGGTCCTGGGTCTCTGCCGTTCTTTTGATCACAACACACATGATTATAGTGGAGACTTTGCAGATCTGTCCTAACATTGCACAACTTCACTTGGCTGTTTTGTAATCCTGGTCTTTTTTCTCAGATTTTACCTTGGGCAAAATCATTTTGCTGAAATGGTAAAGAGGAGGGACTGTAGACACGTTTGGGAAAGCTGCTCTTGGGTTTCAGACTCATCTCTTGAATAGATGGTTTCAGCCCGAAGTATGGGAGTCACTCCCTGGCACTGGCTCGCTTGGTCTGGGACTGGCTGACATGGGGGTACCATGCTAGTTCAGGTGGCAGTGCTCAGTGTCAGTGTCCCCCCAGTGATGCCAGCAGCCAGCCTGGCTGCCCTTCCCTCTGAGAGGCTCTGCTGTCCCAATGAAGCCCCTCTGGGCTTGCTGCTCTGTGAAGTCCCTCTGGCACATGGGCAGGAAAATGAAGTGAATCTTGTTGTGCAGAAAGGAAAAGCTTTGGCACCCAGGTCCCTCGCTTTGCCACCCTTCACCACCACTGCAGCCATCTCTACATCAGCCCGTTCTCTTCCCTCTCCATAGTATGCTGGTCTGACACAGCCAAGGGCTGGACTCTGCTAGTAAGGGTAGTGGCCCTTTGCTCAGGGGAAGAACAAGGAAAGCCTGATCTTCCCAGTCCTGTCCTTGCATTTTCCTTGTCATGCATTCTGCTCTTTCCCCTGTAATAGGTGACTGATGTTGCTTTGCCCTGTGCCCATATCACATCTACCTTCCCAGCTCTGCTGGGATGTAGGAGGAACGTGGTGGAGGGAACTTGTGGGGATACTTGCAGGAGAAACCAGGGGGTGCTGCTGGCAGAGGGAACATCAAATGCCATAAATTCTGCCTACAGCAGCTCCTACTGGGGTCTCGCCGAGCCATACACTTGTCCTAGCGCTGCGGTGCGTTGTCTGGTCAGGATCCTTGGTGGCTGTTGGCAACTGCTTTATCAACTGGCAATCTCTTTCCACACAGGAAAATAATGGGATGACTGTTATTTGGTGCTGCTCTGTGGCTTGGTAAGAAACTCCATTGACTGGAAGGGTCAGCAAACAAGTATTAGGGGCTGTGGGGCCTTTGGTCTTTCATGAGGCTTCACTGGAGTTAAACACAGAATCGATGTGGACTATTTTAAGTGATTCATATTATCTGGTGTATTAGAGTGAAAAATGTGCCAGGAAATAAAACTGGTAATTTTGAAAATACATTGCACTGATAGCACAAAACTGGGCAGTTCAAGACAGATGTCTTGACATTTAGCTGAGCTGGTAACATGCCATTTGTGGACGGAGGCTCATCTTTCAGCTTTTTAAGGACAAGTGTCCTATGTGTCAGATTTAATCAGAGGCACATTCCTTCCTCATCCCTGACTGCAATGAAACTGCTCTCCTGCTTCATCATTTTCTTTCTCCATGGCTTGCTTTTTGAGTTGTTTTTGTTTTGATGCTTGATATTCACATGACATTATACATGAGCAGATTGGTGTAAGACTGTACAAAAAGACGAACTCCAAACCATGTGTGCAATGTAATAGCACATGGCAGATGCAGCAAGTAGATACAATAGACTCAGACAAGTGTGAATGGGGCATGTGTGTATATCTGGTCTTTTAGCCTGAAAAGGCACCTCAGGCTTTAAGGAAAGGGTTAATAGAGACAATGACAATTGACAGAGCTTCTCTGATCACCCCTGGGAGCACCATCTGTAAAAGTAGAATCATTCCTGAAGAGGAATCTGATGTATGATTAATGTTTATTCTATAAAACCAAGGGTCCTGTGGGTTGTGGTGGCTTTTTATAGCTGCATGGGAATATCAGGATAAGAGTTTTCTTGCAGAGCCAGGGAAATGCATTTCTATAAAAGGAAAGCAGTGCCTCCTTATAAAATCCAGTGCTGTTCTGGAGCCCTAGCTTAGCAGGACGTGTGCAGATGCAAACAGACAAAAATGTGGTGCCCGTGCCTGGTCTCCACTTTGGGACTGCCAGTGATTAGAAGAGGTCAGTGCAGTTACTGCCTGAGACCCCAAGGATGTAACTAATTAGAAGTGATCCTGCAGAGACACCTGATGCTGCAAATGGCCTTCTAATAACATTACAAAGCGTGTGATGCTGTGTGGCTGGAATGTGACGTGGAGCCTCATGCAGTGTCTGTGCAGGCTCTGCCTGGTCTCCTGGGGATGCCCTGGCTGACGTGGCTCTGCCAGCAGCTTCGCCCCGGGTGCAGGCTGGCACACGTACTGTTAGGTTGGGCTGTGCTCGTCCTTTGCAGCTCATTCAAGGGATTGTTAACTCTGGGACTTCTGGCTGTGTCTGGGTAGATGTGAGCAGTGCTCAGAGTTTCATGTCATTTCAAAGCGAAATTCTCCTGGTTGCTTGTACTTCTATCAGCTTTTGAACATGAACTCCTGGACTTACTGCTTCTGTACAAATCCTCATAGAGCGGTGGGGGGGACGCAGTGTGGATCAGATGAAGGAAATTTAGCAATAATGTCTCTGTGAGGTGCTTCAGTAGAACTTCAGAGGGCGAGATGGGGAGGTAACATCCTCTGTTGTGTTGTTTGCTTGCTGCTGGTTGGCTGGGAAGATCCGCCATGAGGAGAAGACGTGCTATAAAGCTGTCCAGACGAGTGAAGAGGGGCCGTCGGCTTGCGAGTACCAGGGTCCGCTCATGGTGCTGGCCCAGAACTGCGCCGTCATGCACAACCTGCTGGGGCCGGCATGCATCTTCCTGAGGAAGGGCTTCGCAGAAAACAGGCAGCCTGTACGTAAGTTACGCCCAGCCGGGCGAGACATGCACAAAGCCATGTGGATGTGAGCGGGGAATGCGGAGCTGCCCACGTGCTCCATCTGTGTGGAGCTCTGTAACCCCCAGCCCTGGGTCTCGAGCATCCCGGCTCCAGCTCCAAGTGCAAATACAATCACAGGCAAATGTCTAAGTTGAAGGATGTGCAGAGATACCCCCTGTGCCTAAACACCAAGAAAGGAGGATTCTAAAAATGCAGCTATGGAAGTTAGATCCAAGCCTACACTCAAGTAGGCATAATCATATGGACCCAGGAGAAGGACTTAGGACTTCAGGACTTACATAATGATATGGACTCAGGAGGAGTCCAGTGTTCAAACCTGTATTCCAGCAAGACATCCACATTTCATTCCAAGAGGCTCAGAGTGGCATTTAAGGCCTAAATAGTCACTTAAATGCAAATCAGGGCATCCGTATTGGGAACAAGCTGTCCATATTTGATACTGTTCCTATCA